AGGCTAGCGACGAGGTGCATTACTTTGAGGCCGGCGGAAGAGTAAGCACCACGCTCTGACGATGGAAACGATCATGTTTTCGAAATGTCAGCATAAACACAATTTGGAGCCAGTACTTCCCCCCCTTCTCCTCCCTCTTCCAGGGATGATGAACACGATATGATATCTGCACTCCAAATATTTGCGCATATTAACTCATCATACTTTATTTTCTAATATGGCTGTGCACTTCCTTTTCACGCTAGAATGTACGTGCATACATGCATACATATTCACTTAGGCGCCTACATGCACTGCTTATCGTTGTAGTTTATGCCTTTTAAGACATGAGGGTACGATGTGATAAATGCAAGGGTAGTTTACTAGCCGAGGGCCAGAAAACTGTACTCGCGGCTATGAATCCGAACGCGGAAAAAGTCTCATTGTGAGTTTTTTGGTTTCTGTGGCCAAAGGATGTGATTGTGTTGAATGCCACGCCACCACGCCGTCCTACGCAGCGTGGTTGATGCTGGCAGAGTTTATGTTAAGTACGGTAAGTGTACTGTCTCATCAGAGTTGAACCAAAATTATGAAAGATGATTTCGATTAGAAAAGATTGTTGAGGTAGGGTTATGGTATTCCGTATTATACAGCATAATCCTCATCTGGTGCAGTCACGTCAAGATGCCGGTTTTTGAACGAGCTTTTTTCCTGCCACTTCCGAAAGCTAAACTCTTAAGAAATGACCTTTCATGTGATGTGATTTTCGATGTCCCAATTGATTCAGATATAGTTCACAGAAAACATGCATAAAATATTTTAACTTTTATTTCTTTAGTAGAAATTTGAATTTCCTTCAAAACATTTATTTGAAGATAGGATATTTCCGGGTTTTTAGAACGCACCTTGCTATAAGAGTTTGGAAGGACATAAAAGGTTCATTCAGAAAGCTTTCTTGTAAAGTTTAAGGTGCTTGTTAGGTGTACAAGATGATACACACGAACTGCAAAATTTTATGAGTCCTATATGACTTCTTTAAAATAGCATTTTGGCATTTTGCATTTCTTTGCACGAAAAATATGCTATGTACGTCTATACAAGTGCAAGTCTGGTTGGAAATTATTCAGTAATTGAAAGCGCTTTTACAGCCAAAAGCGGCCATCTTTTCAAGTATAAAAGAAAAAGAAAGCTTAATTTTCTACTAAATGAACGCAAGAAAAGGTATCTTTGTGTATTTTTACCATAAAAAATATAGTTTATAAGAATATAGAAAATAAATGGGAATGAGTTGGTTTATTTGAGTAATCAATTTTAAAGGGTATAGTGTTTGAAGGCTACTGGATGAAAGTTCGACTAAAAACCCGCATCCTGGCGAGACTGAAATACCTGAGGATTAAGCTACGCGATAATATATATATATAATCTTTACCAAATTATCCTTCTTTAGCGAAACTCAATTGCAGAATTCTGTCAACATTTCCCGAGATAGCACATTTACTGCTTGTAGCGCGAAGACAGAATTTTAAATACAACACTGACTTGATGACCAAAGGTCCGCGGTTGGAATCATGGGGTCGCCACTCCTGCAATTGGGAATGACTGGCTGATGACGTCTAATAAGCCAGAAATACCCATTCCGGTCTCCCTTTACTTTACTCTATCGTATTTTACTAGTTGCTATGCGACTGCCCGTGCGGGCTTTAACACTTTGACTGCGACTCTCAAAATAGACTGTTTGCCCATGGGGCGACGTC